GTCATTTTAAATGTATACATAACTCCAATCAGCATCTTGGGCATCTACATTAAAAAATGGTGATGCTAAATTGATTGCTTTATTTAGTTGTTCTTATTCTACACGAAATAATGACTCCATTCCACATTCAAATACTTCCCCTTCTTAGAATCAAAACAGCATGTTGGTTTAATATGTAAATTCAAATGCATGTGTATATGCATGAAAAATAAAATTGGATATACAAATTAAACTTTTGAATGGAATACAGGTAGTCACAGAATAAAATTTATTTTCTCTAATAAAAAAACTTGCATAATTCAATTTGCTATAATATACAAAGGGGGCAAAAGTAGGTTTACAGTTGTGGGTACACAAAACAGTTTATTCTTGCATTATTAGTTATTAATTACCGTATCATTTTCCATGCAAACAACCATAACCCTACTTTTGCCTCATCCTGGATATCTAATACAACCTATTAAAAAGTATTGTAAACAATTACTATCAACTTAAAACAATGTCTATTTTTTTAAAGTATAGTTTTGCAAATTTTATAAAGTTCAGGCATGGCATAATTGGGTTCTCTGATAAGGATTTTGTAAGGTCTGTCACCAGAGTTTCCCCTGGGCTATGTTCCTTTCTGGAGATTCTGAGAAATAATTTACTTCCAAATTCATTCAAGCTGTGAAATGAACTCCTTTTGGTTATAGGACTGAGGTCCTCTTCTCTGTAAGTTAGGAGTCATCCTCTGCCTTTAGGAGCCATGTGCAGGGCTACCCACGCTGGCAAGGAAGACTTTATCATGTGTCAAATTTCTCTGGCACTGAATTTCTTGACTTCCTTCATCTCTGAGCTTTAGACCATCATTTTCTTCATCATCTTAATCATCATGCCTTTCAAAAAGAATTGATGAAGATCTTTCAAAAGTCAGGTCTTCCTTAGCAGGAGTTTATATGTCCAACTATGATTTTAATCTATTTCTCTCTCACTATGTTTTTAGTGCCTATGAGAATCAAGGAGTTCAAATAGACATCAATTTTGTTGTCCTTAAAGTTTCAGCAGCAACTAAAAAAAATTCCTACACATCCTTTGAATGAAGGTTAAAATATTCTGTGGCAGGGATCCTCTAGAAGGGTCAACAGAGGCTCATCCTCAATGCTTTGTTAAGTTCTAATGACTCCCAAGAAAGGGACACCTGGACCAGTTTGGACAGGTCAAGAGGGCATTTGGAAGGGTGTGAGCCCTCAGCTGAGTATTTAGATCCATAGGAGAAAGGGACAAAGCAAAAAAGAGAGGGTATTCTAGGTGAAAGGGATTCCTTGGTCATAGGCATTGACTGGGAAATACTGGTATACTTATGAACTAACAGAAGTGAGAGGAAAGATCCTGATAGAGACATCATTCTGATTTATGCATATGCAGATCTAATTCACACCACATGAAGGACAGATTTGCACAGACTGCAACCAAAGAGGTGAGTTAGAATGCTAATGCCGGGGTGTAGAGCGTGACAAGGGCATGGACACAGGAAGGTCCTCAGACTACTGGACTTATAAAACCAAAACAGGGGTCCCAGTCTGCGAGGGAATAAATGGCTCAAGGGGCTGCTAGACAAGACTTCCTGGACAAACCTTTGCCTGAGGGACAGGTGTGGGCCAACTGGCCAGAGGGAGGGAGTGGGCTACTAGCAAGAGGGATTTTACCCTGATCCTGAATAAAAGGCACCATCAGAACAAATAATGTTCCAGTTTCAGGTCTAGATGGCTCTGAGGAATCAGGGAGAAGGTATGGAACCAAACTAACGGTAGAATGGGGGAATAATCCAATATATTGGAGAGGTTTAGCCTGGAAGCAGAGTGCGGAAACCAACATAGGAAGAAATGGTGGAAGTATAGCTGCCATGAGAAGCACTAATAATTTCTTGGTAGGAGAATGATACCACTAAATGATCTGGATTCTTAAAGCTACAATGTGCATTTGGGTATGTAGAAAAGTCTGTGAAGAGTTTAAGAGATCACAATGGTCCTATTTGTGGTTACCTCTACTGTAAACACTTGGATGCAGAAGCTGATAGGCTACAACATTGGATCCAGAGTCTCCCTTCTCCAAATTCTCAGTACTCTCATTTTTTATTTGATTGGCTATTATAAAGTTGACTGTTATAAATGCATACTAATGACATTTTTCAAAAAGTTCAAACTGTCATTGTGACTCCCAGAAATGAGGTCTGAGAAATCAGATGAAGCAATTTCCTATCACTAATAAAGGCAGAGGATAACCAAACTAGAATTATCATTTTTATCATTTACATAACAGGTCTGAAAAATATTTAATTTTGTTTTATTTTTGTTATAAAACTCTCTTATCCCTCCAGAATATGAAACATCTAAATTATCAGACTTCTTTACCTGTCCTCCTTTTCCAAAAATTGTTTATATTCTATTTTTTTATTTTAAAATATTCCTTTTGATGTGCTAACTAGGTTAGTCTATTACCCGTTAAAAAGACTTGAATTTCCAAAGGTGCATTTTTGAAGCTGAGCAAATCACTAGGTTATGACACACACAAAAAGAGGAAGCTATGTGTTGGATTTTCTCCAGTGAAATATCAGTAAATTGGTTGTACTATTCAAAGGCAGATTCATGCATTAGAGGTTTCCAAAATACAAAATAATTAAGCTTCATGAAAACCGAATATTATAGAGGTATATAGCAGGGAAAATAATTAGGCAATGTCTGCCTCTTCTAACACTATTACTTTATACACATTTAATACAGAATTACCGATAATGTACGATGAGCTGCAAGCTAAGGATACAAGTTATAGGTGAAGAACCGAACACTCTCATGGGTAATTTTTCTGTATAGTTTGGTAGCTCAATGATGTGTTCTATCTAAGACACTTTGGACTTGAGAAAAGAAATCAACTCAATTCAATAAAATGAGGGGGGATAAAAATTTTCAAGAATATAAATGAAATATCAGAGATGCAGCAGTCTTAGTGATAACTGAACTGGTCTCTGTAACATTCAGAAACAAGATGATCCCTGTCACCATGGGCTCCTCCACTGGCCACCATCTCCCCAGCATTCACCACTGGAGGTCACAGATCTGGGGTCACTTATTTTACATTCTCAAGAGTAATAGCCCAATTTCTTTCAGGCTATTCACTGGACATGTCCTTGGGTTAGAAATCTACTTCTAATCCAATCAGAAGTTGGAAATTGAGGCACAGGGTACAACATGGTCCCCCAGACCTTCTCCTACCAGGACTGGGGGTGGATGAAACAAAATAAAAGATGTATAGTATGCAAAAATACCACACAGAAAGATTAAGAATATGCATTCAAAGGTAATCTGGCCAATCAAGAAACAACTGGTTTAAAAGCTAAATAGATGTCAATTCAGTGGTGTTCATAAACCCTCAGAACAGGCTTAGCTTCTGAGGAGGTGTTCAGCAATAACAATCAGCTCTTCAATACATACAGTAATAAAAATCTACACTTATAAATATTTTTCTCACTATCTTATACCAGACAACCTTGTGAATACAATTTCAAGTGGACACAAATCACTTTTTCTTTTTCTTGTCTATCCTGTTTCTGTTAATTTTGGTGTTTAGACAAGTAGGTGATGAATTCAAGAGACCACAATTTATCTACGTGCTGCTTCTTACTACCAAGGTATTATAGAAGTGAATATGTTTCCACATACTCCAAATACGGCTTTGCAATTGAAAATGATCTCCGTTCCAAGTAACCTAGTCTAACAATAAGAGTAGCAGTAACTTCTACTTAAAGTGTATCCACTGCCCCAGGAACACAAGAACAATGTTAAAAGACTAATGGCAGGTGCTTCCAACATGACACCTTCCAACAACAGACTTACCTTGTAATGCTAAATACTTTAGAGCAATGGGTACAGTGATGTTTTCATTCTTTTGTGGCAGCAGTTGCTAAAAGCTCACCAAACTCAAGCTCCTGCTTCCTGAGTAGAGTGGATGTTCATGGCAGGACCAGGAATCCCTGCCCCACTCATCTATGAGAGATCATGTGACTGGTTCTCACCAATGGGATGTGGGTACATTGATGTGTTTGACAATGAGGCCATAGGAGTTCTCAAGAGTTAGGCCTATTGCTCCTGGCATTGAGGGAAGCAAGGAAGCTCCCTAACCAGCATCCTCTGCCTCTATCTGTTGCATGAATGAAAAGCAATCTGTTATTTTCTTGTTACTATAATGTTGAAGTTTATTTGCCATAGTAACTATTATTTCCTTACCCAAGACATGGCCCTAAAAAATGTAGCATCAAACACAGCATAGAAGAAGGTGACAGAAAAGTACAATGCATTCCTGATAAATGAAAGTTGACTTATAGAACTTTATGTATGTTTATTTCAATTTCACACACACCTTTCTTTTTAATAAAAACAAGGTCCTAGGGGGAGCATTTATTCTGTGGCCAAATGACTATATTTTGTTTAGTTCTTAAATATTTCATAACCTCAAACTAACCCCCAATTTAATAATTAATCATTCTATCTATGGACTTGAAATATTTTTCACACATGGCAATTGAATGTGTGGTAAGTACAGGAGGAACAATATTATAATTTAGCATCATATATTAGCAGACGATACAGGATGCATTGAAATGCCCTCTCTCATTTCCAGAACCTGCAACTCTAGATCATTTAGAAAAGAACAACAAACTGGGAGAGTGTGATATGGCATCTCCTGCCTTCAAGCAACCTGCCTGAACTAAAAGCCTTCTTTTGTACAAAATGATGCATCATTTGCATTCAGGGCAGGGATTGATTGTGTTAAAAGAGTTTCAAGTACAAACCAGGCCATTTCAGACTTCTTTTGAACATCTGAAATCAGGTCGGTTACAATTCCTTTCCAACATCGGACTGAATGCTCTGATTCCACTGCCAGGTTTGTAAGAAGAAGATAAACCCCGCCATTTACTTCCCTGGCAACTCAAAGCACAGAACCTGGGGGGATGGGATGCCCAGTACCTGATGCTGCTCATGCTGCCTGTCTCCGACCCCAGCTTGCATCGCTCCAGCTGGCTGGCTACGATCTGGCGTTCTGCCTCCAGCTCTCGAGTCAGTCTTTCAAACTGTAATTCCTGAAAGAAAACCAGCAAAAAGTTTAATTCTGTCATCTGTATAGAAAGTGGAATTCAGACCCAAATGACAGGACAGTTGAGGGGAGATATCTGGTTTACAAACATGCCAAATGTAAGAAGTAGAGAACATTGATGTGGAATCAAAGAAGGATTGCAGTTCAGACAGACCCAAGTTTATATCAGAGTACTGGGACCCTTTAGCTGCAGGTCCTTGAATAAGTTATGTAATCTAAATATCAACTGTACCATCTGTATTGTGGGTATGGGTGAGGACTAAGTGAGACAGTGTCCATGAAAAATTAGCCTATGCTATGTTTGGCAGATGACCAGCAACCCCAGATAACAAAAGTGGAACATTTAATTTTTCTATCATCTGGAGTACAGTGTTTATTCCTTACTGGCTTTTTAGCTGCCTCAATATACTAATTTGATTCTCATATTACTAACCTATTATAGACTGAAGAAAAGCAATGCTAAATCCTACACTTCTTTATGATTTAAATTGAAGCATAAGGGCATGATACTGATTCTACACAGGCTTGAGAAAATAACTTTTAACGTTTTGCTATATTGTTTTTTTAAAATAGCCAATTAAACCAATGAAGAATGGTTTTACACAGCTGCCCAAAACCTACTGTTAAAGGATCACCTTGAATGAAAAACGATTCAGTGAGTACATCAAGACCCTTGGCTGTTCCAAATATTGGACTTGGTACCATAGTTTAGTTGTTATATTTTTCTTTTCCATACACTTAAGTTCTTAAATAAGTATAATGAAAGCAATTACATGTTTTAATTAAAAAATGTTTTTACAATGTCACATTTAACTTCTTTTAAAAATATCTGCACAGTTATATTTAGGTGATTAAGAAAGAAGAATGCTGAAATATATTGAAATATAGGGTTGAGGTCAGTTTGGGAAAACTAAAACTCCCAATGTTGCAAGGATTTGTCTTTCCAGAGAAGATGACTTATTTCTATTTACTACCTTGGAACATTCTTGGGCGAGACCTTTAAAAAGTGGGATCTACTATTGTGTCCTCTTCACGAATTAAAAATATCCTTGCTCTTTTCCATAAGAGCAGAATATTTTTTGTTGACATTATTTAGTGGATCTAAGTTTGAGACACTCTGCATATGACAGCTCAACTTTTCCCGTTGGGGTGCCAAAACAGGAGGCATGCTGTTGTTTGAGATCAAACTTTTATTCTTATCTATCCAGAAGGACAGCAAATACTCTGTAAAGACTGACTACCAAGACTTGTGCTGAGCTTATTATGTGCAGCTAAGTTTCCCTTCTTCTCCTTTCAAATTATGCTCTTTTTTGTCAGTTTCTTTCCACAAAAATATGAAAGTTCTAGAAGATTCTCCATTCCTAGGCTGTATAATATAGTATTTTAAATTTCTCTGTATAACAGGAAACCAACTCATACCTTTGAATTGGTAACACCTTAAAAATACAATACCTGGGGGCTACAGCAAACTCCTTATAGATAGGTGGAAATTCATTATTTGTATAATTTAAAGGACTTCAATTTGCTTCATGTTTGCATATGTGAAAAATAGTCCAATAGGGTGAGATAGCTCAGCGTACTGAGTCCTGGGTCAGAAGCTGTCTTGCTTGCGCTTGCTCCAAGGCTGTGACAGCACTGCATGTTTTCTCCATTTCATTCTTATCAATGGGAAGATATAGGAGGCATTTTCATTAGCAAGCCGCCTTTCAAATATAGGCAAAACTTCCAGTGCTCCTCATCACTTTTTATGGATCTGCATTTCCATCTGGCATCATTTTCTTTCTGTTTAAATGACTTCCCTCAATATTTTTTGTATGTGGTTCCTTAGGTAATAAATTTTTCCAGCTTTACCTGACTCACAGGAGTCTTTATTTCCCCTCATTTTTAAGACATTTTTGCTCCATGGTCCCCTTATTTGTGCGTTGTTTCTGACAAAGAAAAGAAAAAATCTATGGTATTACTTATCTTTGTTTTTTTTTTTTTATATAATGTCTTTTTTCTCTGACTCCTTTTAAGATTTTCTTTTTTGGTGGTGCTGAATAACTAGATGTATTATACATGTCCCTTGGAGTCGTTTCCTTCATGTTTCTTATGCTTGGAGTTCACTGGGATTTTTCAATGTGTGGATTTATGGCTTCTTTCACATTTCAAAAATTTTCAGCCATTATTTCTTCAAAGAATTATTTATCTTCTTCACTGTCTCCTCTTATTCAGTGAGTACAGTTAAGTGTATACTAGGTCACTGGGAATTGTCCCACAGCTCAGAAATTCTTTTCCCATATAAAATTTTTTTCCTCTCCTTTTGTGTTTCATTTTCAATAATTTCTATCGGTGTCTTTGAGTCAACCAGTCTTTTCTTGTGCAATGTCAAATCTACCATCAATCCTATTGAGTGTGTGGTGTTTTGTTTGTTTGTTTGTTTGTTTTTGTTTATTTTTTTTGTTGTTGTTTTTTTTAATTCCAATGAATCAAACATCTCCAGAAGTTTCATTGGGGAACTTTTTATATCTTCCATGGCTCTATTTAACTTTTGAAAATATGGAACACATATAAAAACTGTTTAGCTGTCCTGATTCTAGCATCTGTGTCAGTTTCAACTAATTGATTTTTCTCCTTAGTATGAGCTCCACTTCCGTTCCTCTTCACATGTGGTCATATTTGAACACAAAACATTTGAATGCTACCTTGTTTTGTCCTGGTTGACTTCATATTCCTACAGACATCTTAAGATCTGTCCAGGGCCCAGTTATATGGAATGAATTCGTTACATTTGAGTCTTGTATTGATTTGTTAAGAGCAACAGAACAGCATTTGGTGCAGGGCTAATTACCCTACATTGCCTAGGCAGCCCCTTTGGCGTCCTCTACTCAGCATCACATGAACCATGGGGTTTCTCAGCTGGGCTGGTGGGCACCAGCACATATCTTGGCGCGGTGTGAGCAGCAGGTGTTATGTCCTCCCATTCTTTCAGATGGTTCTCTCCTGGCTCCTTGGCTTCCTTACACACATGGGCTGCTCAGTTCTCTACTGAATAGAAAAACGTGAACCTCTGCAGCTCTCAGGGATTCTCTGTTTGAGTAGCAATATCCTTTCTTCTCTTTTCCCCTGCAAATTCTAGCCACCGTTAGCTTTCTGGACTCTCAGTGCTATCTCCCCAACTCAGCAAGTTCTCTGGCTCTGTCTGGGTTACCTCTTCAAGACTTTCCAGAAGAAACCTCCCCAGGGCAGTAAGCTGGGACAACTGCAGGGCTCACCATTTATGCTTTGTGTCTTCAAGGAATCACCATCCTTCATTGTCTAAAAGTCAGGGTCTGGAAAACTGCTGTTTCATTTTTCTGATCTGTATGTTTTTGTTGCTGTTGAACATATTTCCCAATTCTGTGACTATATCTTTGCTGAAAGCTGGATAATTTTTAAAGAACTAACAGGTTGTCCTCTATATTTGATTTTTAAATAAATATTTCCATATTATTTAAAAATTCACACAAAATGAACAGCAACTAGCTCAGTACCTAAGTTTTTATACTTAAAAAAAGTGTTGTTCACTATTGCAATATTAAAATTTGAGGCTAACTTTGGGTCATTTCTTTTATTTGCTGGATGTCTTCTTAATTGAATTGACATTTTCTTTGTTAAGGAAACTGAATCAATGTGCTGCCTTTTAAAAATGTCCATTCCTTAAATGCTTACTTTGTCATTGCGTGTATGAAATAAGCAAGTAATTAAGTGAATTATTCCTCTATGCTTTGCTAAAGAGTACACAGTAAATGTCAAGGCCCTTAGGTGCAAGTACTTTTCTCTTCTTCATCTGAAATATATTTTAATAATATAATAACACAATACCTAACAAAATAGAAGACTAACATGTTTACTGAGTGCTGACTATTGAGTGCTTAATTACTGGCAGGAATCATATATATGTGATATATGATATATATATATATATATATATCTTATCAAATTGCACACATTAAATATATGCAGCTTTGTTGGTATATCATGTACCCTTTAAATTGCTTTAAAACTACTCCAAAATATGATTCAAAAACTGCCCAGAGAAATTAGGAATTCATGGGAATGAAAAACAATGGGTGGATTAGAGAGGACAGCCTAGAGTAAAGGAAGTTTTTAAAAAAAACACAAAGTAGTGTTAGACCTAAATCTCCCCATTATGTAGAAATTGTCTTGTTTTAGAGATCATAAAAATTTATAAAAGTAGCAAATGTATGACGCCAAAGTTCATTAAAATTTATGAGGAGCCAGATTTAAATGATCGCCTCTCTTAGAATAGCACATTGAGTCACATAATACATTAAGATTATAAGAAAAAAAATTATACAGTTGTCTAACTTTGCCCTAAATAGACTAAATGAATCATTAATTTGGCTTAATTAAATGGTGTTTATTAAATATTTTTAAATGGATAAAAGCATGTAAATCTCTTACAGAGGCTTAGCTAACTCAGTATGAAAATGAAATCAGAAAACACATACTCCTGGTTTCATTAATTCTTTCAACAAATACTTAATTTAATATTGTAGGATAACATCAGTTAGGATCATATAAGCTAGACTTGAGAAAATATAAAATATAAAGAGTGAATTAAGTAAATATAGTCTTGCCATGATTTCCCTAATATGAGAAGGTGGGAAAGAGATCAAACAGGAGTAGATAATAGAGAAGATGGATAAGATGCTAGATATTGGAAGTCAACATGATTCCACAGTTGTGGCTCTGATTGCTAAAATCCAGTGAGGATCTGGTTGCTAGAATCCAATGTGGATCTGGCTGCTAGAATCCAATGTGGATCTGGCTGCTAGAATCCAATGATTGGATTCGAACTGCTCATGCCAGCTAGATGAAGTGGGAAAGTGGACCCATAGCATATCCCGACACTGTGTGGACTCTGCATGCTCACACATCCATAGTCTTTGTCAAACTCTCCTCCCATATGAAAAAAAGAAAATATTAATGACCAGCATCCAC